TATTGATACAATATAACTAGAATATATGACTGTATTGAAAGGCAACAAATGCTGGAGTTGGTCTGCCAAATCCTTTCAAGAATATGTAACTAACATTTTACTGAAAAATCTAAAACAAAAATTTATACTGCAAAATGGAGTAAAACCTTGTTAACATGTTTACACTCAGAAAATAGAAGCAAAATTGTGGTCCCAGAGATCTCATGTTATTTGTTCTTGGTTCCTATAAATTTGTGTTAACAAGATTTTACTCTAATTTATTATTATTATTACATTATTTCAGACACTACAACTTTCTGCACTGCAGCACTTTATAGCAGTCTACACTTTACAGCAGTAGAGAGGTTTGTGTTTTCTAGTAACCACAAGAGTTATGCCACCTGAAGTCTCACTACTGGTAGAGTCTTCAATTTTGGGCAGATTCACAGGTAGGACCAAGAAAAATGTGAGATACAACAGTCTGCTGCTTTGAAGGAAGACTTGTGAAATAAACTGAATAAATGCCTATGTTGCAATAGGATGTACTGGGATACATGCATGACAAAACAGTAACTTGTTTTATGACGAAAAAGTCACTAGTTATATCAGAACAAAACAGTAACTAGTTCTGTAATGATGAAACAGTAACTAGTATTATGATGACGAAATGTGTCTATGACCTAAATGCATTGTTCTAATCAGTAGAATCATTCTGTCCCAATTGGGCTTCAAACATTGAATTCACTGTGTGATCAAAACACTCCTAGCATGCAACCAGCCACTCAACGGAGAGAGACCAAGTCTTATGGTATAAACCTTGGTTCTATCAAGTCTATCCTCTGGCCTCTGACATGCTCTAAAAAGAATCACCCATTTGTTGACCAGTCACCCCTGGCAAGATTGACCTAGCTTTGTTTTTTTTTTCTTTTTAATCATTCTATACCCAGTACCAAGGGCTTTGGACTACATTCAGAGAAATGAAATGCAAGATGGATACATAACCAAACTGCTACAACTGGCACCCTCAATACTGGAACTCTGCATTGCTGCTAAAGATGGGGACAGAGAAGTTAAGGAATATCCTGACTGATGTGCCAGGAGTTATTAATTTAATTCTATACAAAGTGAATCACCCAATGTTGTTAAGTTTTCTTTACTCCATGGCAGCAAGAGTGTTCATAGTGGTAAAGACAAGTATGCATGTGATGTCCCCTTCTTCTTTCACATCTTCTTCTTGAAAAGGGAGAATTATTTACAGGCAGTGATATCTGAGCCTTTTTGTCCAACACATTTCATTTCAGCAAAATCTTAATAAGTTTCCATTTGCAACCAATATGCTTGTTAGGGGGACAATGGGCCTACTAATTTCTCCTCCAAAATGATTTCCAGGGACCGGCACAAGACATAGCAAACCATGTATGCAAAGACTAATGGAGAACAGACTGTCAGGGAGAGAAACCTGTCATCTATGCAAGCTCACTGTGCAGGCAGAGTCTGTAAGACATTTGCAATCAGCCTGAGTACCTACAGACAGGGGTGGCTGTGGAAGTGCAGCTTCTTATCTTGGATATGTGTGCATGCTCGCAACAGGATGAACAGACTGTTGCGTGCATAGGAAGTGGCAGACAAGTCTGGAAGCTGGCACATGATTCATATGCGCAAGAAAATGACAGCTGATAGTCATCGCCAATTTGTGCCCACTCCGACAATGTGAAGAAGATAAGGAAGTCTGAGGGTGACTTCTTATCTCTTCTTCTTTAGTTCGCTCAAAATAGATTATCTATATCTGCAATGTTGTCTCTAGTATGAACTTCAGTCTTTTGTAATTCACTCAGCAAGCCGTTGACTTCTTATGATAAGTCTTCTGTTATGTTTGTTCAATGGTCTTACATTTATTTGTTACAAAACTGGCAGCGACGAAACAGACTGAACCCTACAAAAATAGAAGACTACCACAGACAGATATTAATAACTTATGAGGTTGAGAAGTATTCAAAATACAGGCATAGCAGAAACAACTTGGAAGCACTGAGTCTAAGCAACAACAAAAATATTACTGAAGCACATTACCAACTCTACAAAAGTTAGCAAACATTCTTCAGACTCCCAAAGATAAAACAAATTAGAACAAAGATACCACCTGTTGTGCTCGCCAGCGGATCAGAAGGTCATGGGTCAGGGTCCGGGCACAACTGGACCTTTTCACAAATGACCTTTGCTGCCAGGTCGACCCAGCCTTAAATGTGTAGCAGGTAAGGTACTGGGAAGTTATGACTGCCGGAATGATACTGACCACATCACCCACCAAGTGCCAACTGACCTATAAAATGTAGGCTCTATCCCTATATGCCAGTTTGCCTGGAAAAGGCCCATTACTTTAATAACATACCACCTGTACAACAAGCTAAAGAAACAAATCACTAATGTATGCAACTGTTAAAGTGACAAAATGCGTGTTAAGCACCTTTTGCAGAAGCATGCAAACTATAAAAACAGAAACAGGCATGTATGGCCGACACCTGTGCCAATAATGGACACACACAAAAGTGTCCATGCATGTTAGCATGTATGTGTGTGTGGGTGCTGTAGAGTGTCAATGCATGTAAGCAAGCATATATGTAAGTGTTGGTGCTGTAGTGTGTCAATGCATGTAAGCTTATATATGTGTGGCTGCGCCGTCTTAACGCATGGGCCTGCTGGTCATATGCCTAGGTTCTTCAGCCACTATTCTGAATAGAGGCTCCCAAAGCTGTTAAGACGCCTCTGGTGTGTATGCATGTGTATCAAAGCACTGCATTTGCCCTTGCCCAACAAGCAGTTAATTTTGAGCGTAAATAATTTGTTTCCATTTTATTTAAAAGGATCAATTTATTTGCTTCACTGTATTCAACTGTTACTGTAGTAGTAGTACGCACCTGACAAGACACAGCCAAATATGTCTGGCCATAATTTGTGAAATCTACTCTTTGTGTCTTGTATGTTTTACATATATGTATATGCTTAACCAGGAGCTGCCTTGGTGTATTGGATAAACACTTGCCTGCAGATTCAAAGGTCAGGGGTTCTTTAATTTTAGACGACCATATCTCATCAGTTTTGAGATTTAGTTGGGAAATCCTCAGAACATCTCATTGTAAGGTGGAGGGGGGAGGGGGGTGTTAGGTTTAAATAGCAGTCACTATTCATTTAACACTAGTCCTAACCCTAACCCCTCTCATAATATGGGACCGTCCAGGGAAATCAATAGGAATTCCTTATGAAATCTCAAAGCCGACAAGACGGGGCCCCTTAAAATGTTAAAGTACCCCCTTTTTACCTTAAAAAAATTACCTTGGCCCCCGGTCAACCAGTCTTAAATGGTCACCAGGTAAATTCCTCGGAAGTAAAGGAAGCTGGCATGATGCTGACCAGATCCCTGACCAAGTGCCTAGTGATCTAAAAAATATAGGTCTAGCCCCTATATACCCAAACTGCTTGATAGCATAGAAAAGGGTACTTTACTTACACACTGTATTTGCTTAACCATTGCAAGATAACATCGTTAACTAATTATTTCCTGGGTGGGGGGCCTTAGCCCCAATTCAAAAAGATTATTAACACATATAATTGGCCGTATACAAAAATTGAAACACATCTTTCCCAGTAAAAACAGGTGTAAGAAAGGGATGTGTTGTCATCCCTCTTTTTTTGAACCTTGTCATTGATTGGATACTAAAGAACACAGTAGACAAGTCACAGAGTGGCATACAATGGACTCCATTTTCCATGCTTAAGGACCTTGATTTTGCAGATGATATAGCTCTCCTGTCATATAAACGGGAACATCTACAAGAGAAAAGTAACAGACTACACAGCACCCACAAAAATGGTGGAATTGAGAACAAATATAAGGAAAACTAAGATCACGACAAACAGTTCAAACCAACAACCAGTGACCATAAATAACCAAACATTGGAAACAGTCACATATCTTGGCAGTGTGGTGTCCCTACTGGGAGGGACAGAGGAAGACATAGTCACGCCTGAACTAAGCTAGAGCTGATTTTGAAGGATAAGGCAAATTTGGAAATCCAACGGTTACTGTAGAGGAAAAAACTCATCATCTTGCCAGTTTTTCTTTGTGGAGCAGAATGCTGGAGAATGACCAAAAAGGATGCACACAAGCTATCTCCTTCCACCACACATGTCTATGTAGAATTATTAAAATTTTTTGGGCCAGATACAATCTCAAACAATAGACTACTTCAAATCACAAACCAAGAAGCTCTAGACAGTATAAAAAAGAGAAGATGGAAATGGCTTGGCCACATCATGAGAATAAATCCTGATATACATTCCAAAACAGCTCACTTGGACACCAGAGGGAAAGAGAAAACAGGGGCACCCAAAAACAACATGGAGACGAATGATGGAAAATGAAATGAGTGCTGCACCTCTGACCTGGAAAACTGCACTGAAGATTGCACAGGGCAGGAAGGAATGGAGAGTCCTACTGAAGCCTCATGTCCCACAAGGCATAAATAGAAGTTAAACAAATTGGCAGGTGATCCACAGGCCAGATTTGGCTCGTGAGATGCCAGCTGAATAGCCCTAACATACATAATATTATGTAATTAATATTTTGTGCTCCTCCAATCAGCACTGGTCACAGGTGTACAGCTATTTAATAACATATTTTAAATACATATTTTTACGATAAACAGAAATATGTCAAAAGTCCCCGCAGCAAATACATGGTGACGTCCGATGAAACATTACACTAAGGTTGAATCAACTAGTAATTAATCTCTTTTTGTTTCAGCAGATGCTGAAATTCTTCAGTTGGTTTAATGTCCATTATGTCAATATCCGCTTTAAAAAGAATTCTTTCATAAAAGATAAATATTCTACCAGCAGAAATAAACTGTATGTAACATTACAACAACCGTGTAAGATGTACGTATGTCTTGTGTCCTCACAATCAGCCTGAGTGTTGGAAGGTACTTCAAATTATTTGTTATGCAACCTAAATGTGAATGTCATTAATCAACCTTTTTCTGTCCAACAGACTTCTTTGACAGATACGTTGTATAAAAGAAATGTGCGAACAATACAAAGTATGTGAAATACATTGCCGAAGAATACGCCAAGTTCTCATACGTCTGCTGGCAAAATTCTCCTCTTCCTTTGATCCGGTAGATCCAAATATTGATGAGAACGCCAATGATCATCTGTGTCAGCTGCAGTGTTGTTATAATAATGTTCACGTATTTTGGCATACGGAATTGTAAGGCGCGAAGTGCATAGTATGTGTACATAAAAGCGTGTACCGTGTAGTTCATCACCATGAACCATCTTCCTGGAGCAGTATGATCCGTGTAGCTGTACCACACGTAGATTAAAACTGTAACGTGGTGGTACCAATGAAGAAATATCAGAGGCTGTTTTCTCAGACACTATAAATACCGTGTCTCCAAGTTCATACACCTTGGAAACGGTAAACATGAACGCCCAGAAACTTGTCACGCCTTTGAAGTAGGTAGGGACACAAACTGAATACTGCAAACTGTGATTGTTGATGGCTGAAATCAGCTCCGGCCACGTCCTGATGGCCCCGGCGATGCTGAAAAGGCCTAGAACACCACTCCATAGGGCTAGAAACCGGCGTAACTCATACCGTGGTCGATTCTTCATCAACGATTGACCGCCAAACACGACGATAACATACAAGGCCGAATATAAAAAACAGTCTGTCCATCTTTCTAACATATACTTCAAAAACTTCTGCTCGCGCCACTCTTTCTCAAACTGAAACACGACGGTATAATTGTGCTCTCCCAAATCCATTTATTCTTGTGGTATGCCGGGTCCCACGAGCAAGAAAGCGAGTTTTCCTGACAAAAGAAGAAGAAAACACACGAGGAAGCCCCTCTCCTGGAATCGTCTGCTAACCGAGTGTAAGCGAGAGGCTGATTGGATGGGCTGTTTGTACAACAGATCGGATGTTTCGATGAACTGAGAGAGATTAGCCAATCAAATCCGCTCTTCTACAAAACTGTCAACAACATGGCGACCTAGACAACGGCTTGAACTTTAAAAATTACAATCTCATGACAGGAAATAAATTATTTATCTCCTCATTCAGGATTCCTTTCTGTAGGATAAATATCTCACGGATGAGAATCAAAAACTGGTACTATTCCAAGAAACCCCATTCCGTATAACACAGTGATATGGAGCCACCCTATGACCATGAAGGAGCCGCTGTGGTGCAGCGGCTTGACGCTCGCCTGCCGATCCGAAGGTCATGGATTCAAACCCTGGCGGAGAAGAGCTTTTTCAAAAGTTACTTTAGCTCCTAGGTCGACCCAGTCTGAATTGCGTACTAGGTAAAGTCATGGGAAGTAAAGGCGGTCAGTGTGATAATGACCACATCACCCACCGAGTGTTCTATAAAACACAGATCTAGTCAGATATGCCCAAACACTTGAAGGTGCGGAAACCCGTCATTTCCTTTCAACTTTTACTAATGGTTATGAGTCGGTCTCGGTGGCTTAGGCGCTGCGTACATGTTTCGCAATGCAGGGGTGCCGGGTTCGATCCCAGCTGCAGACGGTTTGTCTCACGTTGGTTTTGACAGTGGTACCGAGAGCTGATCGGTCAGGGGCAATGGCAAACTACTAAGCGTAAAATGTGCCTTAAAAAACCACAACAGCCTTAAAAACATGCTGGGGTTGGTTCTGCAACGTGATGTAAAGGATACGCAACTAACTTAGTTTGAAGTTTGATTAACGGATCAACATCATGGCACACGGATAGTAACCCATAAGTGCTCCGTTCTTCTTTTAACTCCGAAGAAGCTCAGCACAGTGTACATGCTCTGTAGCACCGGCGAGAATCCTGAAATACTTTCGGGTAGATTTTTAACTCCAAATTTTGACCGGGCAGCACCGTTAGGCTACTATTTTCAATTTTCAACTTCCAAGGGATTTGTTACGTGCGCAACTTTTGAATGAGTCCTGATCCGTTAGGATCTGAAGCCATCGGAAGTCCACTCTCACTACCAAGAGATCATATGGAATTACTAGAACTCCAAGTTCACGCGGAAAAAAAAATCCCAGCTTTTACCAATGAAGAAATGCCAGAGGCTACCGGGGATTGAGCGCGGAACCTCTAGCACTCAAGGCGAACACCATACCTAGAGACCACGTAGTCAACTTTCTTTATTGATATGAAGCAATCTGTAGTCTAAATTGGGTGTATAAAATGACAATACATTTTATTCTTTTATTATAACAGTCATCATCTTTTATTATCGCACTACAGACTAATAGCGCTGTTAAACCATTACAGTGATAAATTAATTTATCAAATGGGCTGGCGTGTTAAAAGTCACATTTCGAGGCATAAATAATAGTATGTACAAATATAAATCCAGATAAAAAGTTGAAGTATTCTTCTTCTTTCGTTCGCTTGAAAAAGATTATCTATATCTGCAATGTTGTCTCTTATGAATTTCACTGTCTGTTGTAATTCAGTCAGCGACCCGTGAAATACATATGAACTAGTTAGTATACTTCACAATATAATATTTTCGAACGACAAAAAATGAATGTTGTGGCTAAAAAGCCTTCATCTGCATATCTTTTCTCCAGGCTATGCCGGCGTTGTGGGTAATGAGCAAGCAGACAGATTGGCTGGACCCGCACCACTTTTAAATTATAATTGATACATGACAAGGCAGATGTGGTCAAAGCCCTTTGAGAACAAGCAACGGAATCAGTAGAGAAAGAAGATTATTATGGCCTGGAGAGAAGGAAGCACCTGGGTGTAACCAGAGGGTCTGGCCGGCTCACTACACTCAGAGGAAAGGCAAGACGGACTTTTAACCAGATTGTGACCGGTACCACTATTAGAACGCTGCGCTGGCTGCTGAAGATAAGGACGGAGCATGCATGGAAATGCCTTAAGTGCTGTGATGTCAATTCTTGACTCAACTCTTGTTTATCAATTTTATATTACTTTTCAGCATATTATATTTTCCCGAAATAATAGTAATAGCTATTATCGTTAATTATTGCCCCCTTAAAGAAAACGTAAGACCGTTAAACACCTATCCCTGGAAAATTATAGAGGACGGGAGTTAGTTACGTTGGTCGAGCATGTGTTGAAAAACTTCTACTTTTGCATTTGGTAAGGAATATTATGGAAATAATAATTATAATTGACCCTTTCGCGGCTATTGTGTGTGTGTGTGTGTGTATGTGTATATATATATATATATATATATATATATATATATATATATATATATATATATATATATATATATAGTGCCGGATTTAGGCATAAAAAGGGGCCTCAAAACATGTTAATTATTTTTAGTTCACATGGAATTTTCTATTAATATATTTTAAAAGTTGCCTGCCCTTCGCATCGTGTGTATACAGAAAGAGCGGTTATGCATCTTATGTTATGATGACAGTGATTTTACATTTTGAAAATCAAGAAACAAAATATCTTAAGCTGTAACTTAGAGTCTTTAGAAGATTAAATAATACAATTTCTGTGTGTTTGCAATCATTTTTTTTTCTTTTAACAATGAATAAAACGCCAATATATTTCAATTACAAAAGCGTATATTTTTTAATTTGGTGAGATTGCCTGGTGTAATTTGTAAGGGCTTCAGGGCCTGTATTTGTTATGGCCTCGTTAATGTTGAATCCTGCCAGTGTGTATGTGTGTGTGCATTTGTGTGTGTGTGTGTGTGTGTGTGTGTGTGTCGGGGCGCTGGAACATGGGAGGTTAGGCTGTTACGACAGCCTTCAAAACTGTTTAATTATAATTATGTATTCAGATCAACAAGAGGAAAAACATATAGACATTCTATTTGAGTTGAACATCAAAGAGAACTGGCTCATAAACAGCACCCTGACACGAAAGTTGCAGTATTTTGGCCACATCAAGCGTCATGGTGGCTTGGAAAAGATGGTGAAGGAGGGTACAGTTTGTGGAAGGCGAGGCAGGGGTCGACCACCGCGAAGACGGATACAGGACATTGAAGAAGCACTGGTATTGAAAGCACATGGGGCCAGAGAGGTGGCTAGGCAAAGGGATACTTCCAGGCGTGTAATAAAGAGATTGATGTTCTGTAAAGGACTAGCTGATTGGAGATGTTTCAGCAAAAGCGATGCCCCAATCGAATCGCACTCCTGGGTAGTAAACACCATGCAGTTGACCCATATTCCAAGTGTGGAAGTATGCTCTGCTTGTATACTGTATTGAGTATTTTCCCATCGGCTCCCCATGTGGTTCCACTTAGTTTTCTTAGTATTGCTGTCTTCCTCCTGGCTTTGGTTGCTGCCTTGTTGATATGTTTTCTCCATGTCAACCTGTCATCAAATGTGACTCCTACGTAGGTGGGCTCTTTATCATCGTTTATTTTGACCGTGCCGGATTTTTGCTTTGGGGAGAGGGTGAATAGTGTGGTGCTACATTTGTCTTTGTTGATGCTGACACACCATCTATTGGCCCATGCCTCAAGTGCATTTGTAGCCTGCTGTAGTGTTTTTGTGGCTATCGTTGCATGTTCAACCTGGTACCCATTTAAGCTGGTACGACCTGGGAGCCAAGGTTATGTTTGAAAAAAGTCCACGTGGATTTGAACCCACGATCTCCACCACACTACAGCAGCTCCTATACCTCCCCACAGCACACTATGACACACACACACACACACACTCACACGCGCGCGCACACATGCGTAGAGACGGAAGAGTGCCAACTTAGAGTAATCCATCTTTCTCCTGTAACCGTCGGTATCATCATTATGTAGCAGGTCCTTTGCAGAATGTCGCTCTCATCACAGTCTGCCTGAAAGAAACTCGGTCTCTCTCCAGTTCTCCCGCCTCATGCACTTTCACACTCAAGGAGTCACTTATATCTTGTGCCTATCTTCGTGTCGGTCGGCCCCTGCCCCTCCTTCCTGGTACCATGCCTTCTGCTATAATTTTTTCACAATCCGTCGTGACGCTTGATATGACCAAAATATTTCAATTTTCGAGAAAGGATGCTGTTTATTAGCCAATCTTCCTTGATGTTCAGATCTTTTAAGATGTCAATTTTTCTCATCTTCTTTGTCCAAGATATTCTGAGAAAGTTTCTATAGTCTATAGCATTTCAGCTCAAAAGCCCCTATTCTCTTTTTTAAGGACTGTATACCGTCGGTATACATTATTAATATTATATTTGTTTCATCAACATCCCCATCGTAGATTTTATAATTCGCCGTTTAAGTTGTCAAACAAAACATGGAGATCGTCCCAATGATGATCCGCTGATGATGTCCTGTAGCGTTGTGTGATTAAGTGTCAACTTGTGTTATTTCAGTAAGTGGAAGTCAGTGTAGAAAAAGTAGGGCCGTTCACTTCTTCTTCTTCTATTATCATCTCATTGATACCAGGTTATAACCCAGTTCCTGGGTACATACATTTTACGCTTCTCGGCATACACACATTCGTATTATTTGGTTTTTAATTTGAGTAATTAATCAGAATCAATGACGAATCACTCGAATCGAATTCAGTTGCTGACTTTAGACAGTGAACAGGTTAACTTTAATCTTCTTCTTTCTTCTTCTTCTTCTTCTTCTTCTTCTTCTTCTTCTTCTTCTTCTTCTTCTTTCTTCTTCTTCAGCAGCAGCATTCCGAGCTCTCGAGGTTAATTGCTGCAGTTTTCACTCGCCTCCACTCATCTCTCTGGTTGGTCTTCTCTTTCCAGTTGTGACAGTGACACCAAATATGCAACACTTCAGGAATGTACGTGTCATCCTTGCGCAATTTTAATAATAATAATGTTATTCTTTAACTAACTATTCTAATAACTTTTAATTTTATATTATTAAAATATAATATAATCTTTTTTGAACTCTGTAAAAAAGGTATAGTCGGGAGATGTGAACCAGCGTCAGTTGCACACAGTTATAAACCATAAGTGCTCTGCCACCAGTACGGTCAGCTGATAAGAAACTGTCCGCCTATGTCGCCGTCCGCACGCAGTGTGTCAACTCTGGTACCCATTTCCTAGAGCCTGGGTGAACCCCGGGAACCGCTCGAGTTTCAAACACTGACCATGGCTGCAGCGAGTCGCAGCTGGATTTGAAAACGAATTTCCTATTGACTGCGCTAATGCGGTTTGAACTCTATATAATCTGTTTACGCCTATGTACTGTCCACTTGCTCCCAAGGGAGCCCTAAACATTTATAGAGAGGGAAGAAACATAAACTCCTATATCAGCATCTCTAGTGGATGTATTTTTAACACAAAGTTGTCTCAGTATAATTATAGACTTTTCTCTTTCTCTGCAGTGAAGATGCCAGGCATTGTGCACAAACTCTGGCTTATGTCTGTGATTTTATCAGTATGTCCACATCACTTATATGCATTTGAAGACTCCTGTTCCGAAGAATTCTGTGAAAAGAGCCACGTGCTGACAGACCAGCTACCTGAGCAGCTGCCTGACCACTATGTTATAGAACAACAAAATAAAGACATTCTAGAGAAAAGTTTCCAAGGGCATCGATTAGACGAGGCTCAGAAGATATCAGACAATGCAGAACCTAATTCTGATGATAATAAACTCATCAGATCTGAGGAAACAGATGAAAATCACCAGTCTTCTATTTATCTTGAGACAACACCTGATCAAGAAATATCTACTGATAAACATTCTGAAAAATTAGACGTTGTAACTGAATTTCAGGAAGATAAAACTGATGAAAGAATGCAGCTAGAAGGGAACTTAAGACATTATAACAACATAGACGAAAACGATGTTTCATTATTGAGTGAGACAACTGAAGACCACCAAGAAGACACAGAGAGTCCACAACTTGAAGTTATTGGTTTTAGTAATGGCAGAATTAAGGTCGACAGTGAAGATATTCACGGGAAAGAGACCAATGACCAGCAGTTTCCACAACCTACCTCTAGGCGAAAATATTTTCCTCTGTTTTACACAATTCGATCGCTGCTGACCTCTCTCTTATCTGATTTTGGAGATGAATCTGGAAATCAAGAAACAACATTCAATTCATCGGAAATAGTGACTGGTAATACGACAACAACTACAGACCATCTGTCACCGATAAATGCTACCATGAATGGAACTGATTCCAGCCGAAAGACACGGTTTCAGTGTGCTGTCCGAAATATTACGAGTAACACTACGGGAGAGGTAATATTTCCATTTCTATGTTTTTCTACACTTCACCCTCTCATTCTTCTTCTCCTACCTCTTTTCCTCCTCTTTTTATTGTCTTCCTTTTTATTCTCTTCTTCCTCTTTTTCCTTTTTCCCCCCTCCTTCTCTGCCTCCTCTTTAATACAGTGCAGACCTGTTAAAGCGGTCTTGGATGTGACGAATTTCTTTTGGGAAGAGCAGTTTATGTATCCCTGGCAGTTTTTCTTGCTTGAAGTTTTATCTGGGTAAGAAGAATTTCTAATAAGAAGAACCATTTCTTGGGTCTACTCCTTATCATGTCTGTTCTGTAACATGACTACAGTAACCTTGCACTGGAATCCACGGGGCCAAAACATGAAGAGAGATGACAGACACATGGAGAAGACAATAAGAGACACATAAATAAGATAGGGAAGGGGTGAGCTGCCTGTGATAGCAAAGACAGGATGACTTAGTGCGAGTTGATAGGGGGCCTGTGATTCATTGTGGGATAAAGGACAAAGGGAGAAAAGGAAAAATGAAAAGCCATTGACTATGGTTAGTAACATTCTTAAATGGTTTGCTTCGTTTTCTTCTGGTTATCCTTTTTAAATGCTTCCGTTAAAACTCAGTATTGTAGTACTCTTTTGAAAATCATATTTTAGAAATAACTCAACTGCGTATTTGCATGTGAAAACTAACAGATTGACGGTGAAGAGCGAGAGACAGTAGACCATTTTACCTATCTGGGTTCCCACAGGGAAGAACAAACTATCGCTGGACCACAAAACCAAAATCAGGATAGGTAAGGCAGCAACAACAATGAGCAGATGGACAAAGAGAGTTTGGGAGAACAGAAAGTTCACAATTAAAACAAAAACCCTTGTCTGTCAGGCTTGTGTTCTCAGCACTCTGCTTTATGGCAGTGAAACTTGGTCAACCTATTAGCACCAGGAGAGATGGCTAAATAGCTTTCACATGCGATGCCTAAGAAGAATACTTGGCATTAAGTGGCAGGACAAAATCACAAACACTGAGGTACTAGAAAGAGCAGGCACTACAACAGTCTTTTCCATGCTCAGTCTACGAAGGCTTAGGTGGCTGGAGAATGAAGGAGGGCAGAGTCCCCAAGGACATCCTTTATGGTGAATTAGAGACAGGTAGAAGATGTCGAGGCCGACCTCTACTACGGTATACAAATCTGTGCAAGCAGAACATGAATCATACAGGTATTAAGGTGGACTCATGTGAACAAAATGCCATGGACTGTGTTGTGTGGAAAGGACATACAGTCCAGTCCACTTAAGTCGAATTTCGGTCAAGTCGACATGACCAGCTTAGTCCCTGCAATTTTCTCTATTATGTGTGCTGTCTGGATAAGTAGAAATCCTGATAAGTGGAAGCATTTTGGTAGGTCCCTGCGACTTCTACTTATCAGACTCGATTGTATCTGGAAAGGAATGAGAGTGAAGGAAGAAAAGATTGTAGAAAAGATGAGAGCTGAGCATCTGAAAAGAAACGGATTAAACACAAATGTTGACAACAATGGTCCTGAAATCCCATGCTATCATTGTGGAAGACTTTTCTTGACATGGGCAGGTCTTGCTAGTCGCACTCGCCATCGACATGGGCTGTGAGTGCCAAGCCTCCTCATACCACAATATAACACTATCGTCTGGAAAGATGCCAATCAATCAATCGATCATATTATAAATGATTTGTATAAGTCATGAAAATTATTTTCAATCTCTCAGTTTTAGAGGAATGGCTCTCTCTGTGTTACAGGAGCCGTAAATATAAATCAACACAATATGCAGCAGCCACTCCAAGGTACCAAAAGAGTCATGACCTTATTTCAGAAATACCATTGTTTTCCTCCAGGTGAAAATTGTCAACAGCACTGAGCTTCTGGAAATCTTGAACCTCAGCAAGAACCAGAAGGTGTCGCCTTGCGTTCTTGTCATGTTTTATGCCCCGTGGTGCCACTTCTGCGCGAAGGCAGCACCTCATTACAATGTCCTTGCACGGGCATTTCCCCAGTTGGACGTCTTGGCCGTGGACACATCACACTTTAGTTAGTAAGTATTTTAGCTTGTTAGTGGCTTTGTGGCTTAGAGGTTAAAGAAATCGTTTCACATTGTAACTCCTGTTGGGGCAAGCGGGAAGTGGGGAATAGATCCACTTCTCCTTAAGAAGTATGTCATAAAAGGCAGCTTGGTTGTAGGATAATGTTGAATCTCTGACACTAACATGATAGGGGTTTGTCATGGAGATTGTGAGACTTCTCTTTCAGCAGTTTTCTTTCTGGATTTTTTCCATTTTTGGCCTCCCAACAAACCCTGGGTCACCTGGGGCGCTGGTTCCCTGGTTCTTAGCCTCCCATGCCTGCCATGGTAACCGATTTTCTCCCATTCTGCATACATGTCCAAACCATCATAACTAACTGATCCGCTCAAGTTTTTAAGGCTTGGATTTCAAGATCTTGACTTATTGTCTGATTGCAGACTTTGTCCCTTCTTGTCACTTGGACCACCTTTCTCAGTCCTGAAATCTCCTGCATTTATTGTGGAAGATGCTTTCCAGTGCAGGCTGGTCTTGCTAGTCACACCTGCCATTTATACAGGCTGTCTTTCCCACAGGCTGTCATTCCCACAGGCTGCCATTCCCACAGGCTGTCATTCCCAGGGTCTTTCATTCCCACAGGCTGTCATTCCAAAAGGCTGTCATATCCACAGGCTTTCATTTCCAGGGTCTGTCATTCTCACAGGCTGCCATTCCCACAAGCTGTCACTTCCACAGGCTGCCATTCCCACAAGCTGTCACTTCCACAGGCTGTCATTCCTAGGGTCTGTCATTCCCACATGCTGCCCTTTCCAGGGTCTGTCATTCCCACAGGTTGTCATTCCCACAGGCTGTCATTCCCACAGGCTGCCATTCCCAGGGTCTGTCATTCCCACAGGCTGTCATTCCCACAGGCTGTCATTCCCACAGGCTGTCATTCCCACAGGCTGCCATTCCCACAGGCTGTCATTCCCAGGGTCTTTCATTCCCACAGGCTGTCATTCCAAAAGGCTGTCATATCCACAGGCTGTCATATCCACAGGCTGTCATTTCCAGGGTCTGTCATTCTCACAGGCTGCCATTCCCACAGGCTGTCATTCCTAGGGTCTGTCATTCCCACATGCTGCCCTTTCCAGGGTCTGCCATTCCCAGGGTCTGTCATTCCCGCAGGCTGTCATTCCCACAGGCTGTCATTCCCACAGGCTGTCATTCCCACAGGCTGTCATTCCCACAGGCTGTCATCCCCACAGGCTGTCATTCCCACAGGCTGTCATTCCAAAAGGCTGTCATATCCACAGGCTGTCATTCTCACAGGCTGCCATTCCCACAAGCTGTCACTTCCACAGGCTGCCATTCCCACAAGCTGTCACTTCCACAGGCTGTCATTCCTAAGGTCTGTCATTCCCACATGCTGCCCTTTCCAGGGTCTGTCATTCCCACGGGCTGTCATTCCCACAGGCTGTCATTCCCACAGGCTGTCATTCCCACGGGCTGCCATTCCCACAGGCTGTCATTCCCACAGGCTGTCATTCCCACAGGCTGTCATTCCCACAGGCTGTCATTCCCACAGGCTGTCATTCCCACAGGCTGTCATTCCCAGGGTCTGTCATTCCCAAAGGCTGCCATTCCAAAGCCTCCCTAAGACAAAGAATAACTCACAAGGATAACTGATAGCCCATACCAGAAGGACACAGTCTACATTCTTTGGTTATGTCGTGAGAAGGAAAAAAACTGGAGTACATTGTACATCAAATTGAAAGGGGGGGGGGAGGAGTGGTGAAGAGGCAGAGCAAGACCAAGAGAGAAAAAGTTTGACAGTTTGACGTCATGACATGGAAGATGGACTGTTCGGCATTGATTGAAAGTATACAAGACAGGAGGTTGTGGATAGATGTGACTACCAGCACCACACAGCATGGACTATAATGTAAAGGCAAATAATGGTAATCTTTCTCTACTGATCAAGAGTGTGATAGTCATAAAAAGTCATTTGCATGATAGTAACCATTCTTTTAGAGTTTAGAAGATAGAAATAATGTTCTGGCTTGTCTGCAGCCTGAATGCTCGATTTGGAACAGTAGCTGTACCGAACTTGATGCTATTTCATGCAAGATCTGCTGTACGGTTCAATCATACAGCCCGTGTGCTAGACAACTTTATCCAGTTTGTTACAAATAATACAGGTAGGTGTCAGCTCATGTCTCTTCTTGGTTTGGGTAATTCCTTATTGAATAGTCTCAAGTGTTAATGTGTTATGTCAGTGTGCTTTTTGTGTCCGTGCTTGTTGAGTCTGTGCGTGCCTGACTGTCTAAGAGTGAATCTGTGTGCATACATGTTCTTTATAATACAAAAGATTATGGTCTGAGGAGAATGGCATTGCGAGGAGTTACCAGGAGATCTGGTCGGCGCCGAGCAGTCATGTGAAGGGCAAGACAGACGTATAATCAGAAGTTACTGGTACTGTCGGAATTGGAACTCTTCACTTGCTGCTGAAGATGGGGACGGAGCGCTTATGATGACATGAGTGCTATGATGTCGATTCTGAATTCAACGTTCTTTATTTTGTTATGATTGGGTAGTTTATGAGAGGATGGTTAGATAGAGAATGGATGATATAAAAGGAGATCAAGGAGAGAGAGAGAGGATGAATACAAAAGAGCTATGAAATGAGAAGATATGTTCCTTTTCCATGGGGGGAGTGTAGTAATAATAGGTCTACAGTCTGTGTGTGTACATACCTACACCTGTGTGTTTTTTGTATGTATACAAGTAAATATATATGTGTATCTACCTGCTTTTTTTATATGCTAATAAATGAATGTGTGCATTCATTTATGTGTGTGTGCATGAGTTGGCATCTGTGGCACAGGCATTGCTATGGAGCTTCGTAATGCTGAATTTGATCACAGTTGCAGGCGATTTGGCAGCAGACCATCTTTTGTTGGCTTCGACAGTGGTACTGAGAGCTGATTGTTCAGAAACAATGGCAAACTAATGAACGAAAATTTATCTAGTAAAACCACAACAGTCAGAAAATGCTGGGGTTGGTTCTGAAACATCCTGTGAAGGATACGTAACTAACTTTGTGTGTGCTTATACAAGTGTATTTAATTTATGTGTTCATACAGCTGCACTTCCCATATAGATTCCTGGACTCTGTTTTGGAGGACAAAGAATAGACCCTTTGCTCCGCTAATGAGCATGTCGTAAAAGGCTACTAATTAGGGGTGTTTCCTTCAGAATCAGAGTACATCTGCTAGAGAGGCAATAATCCAAAAGTTTGCATACAAATAATCCAGATCTGTTAAATGAATGTGCACATAAAACCAAAGTTTAGAAGTGGACAAACAACATGAAAATGTCCACCAGAGCCTACAGCTGGTGAATGCTAAGGAGAAGAATACACCTGCGTATTATGCACAAGGGCTTGCCCATCTGCCTGCTGTATGGTGGTGGGGAGATGGACAATGTGTGGATGGGACCAGTGAGTGAGTGGTTGCATAAGTCTACTGCCATGATGAGAATGTCTGTAGACAGCCTCTAGCTGCTTTTGAATTAAAGTGAAAAGATGAATGTTAAAATATCGTCCTGGACTCATTTCCCTTATTTTTCCCATGAGCTGTTATCTTTTGTCAAGTCTTTAAAACTCATTCAGTACCAAACATCCCTGTGTGGGTTACGGGGCCCGGTTATAAGGAAAACAAGAATAGACCCACTGCCTACCCCAGAGCATGTTGTAAGAGTCGACTAATTGGGAGCTTCATTTAAAGTCGGAGTGCATCTGCCTGAGAGGCAAGGAACCATGAGTCTACATACAGATTAGTCAGATCTGTCAAACAGATGCACACATGATGCTGAAGTTCTGGAACAGGACTACAGCCTAGAAGTGGATGAACAACCAGAACTGTCTGCCAGAGTTTACAGCTGAAGAAGAAGTAGAGTCAAAGTTTACACAGTTAAAATCTTTGCTGTCGTAATAGGCGCAAGATGTCTTATCTCCACTTCCACATACAATGTGCTAAAGCAGCTAGGCTTGAGAGGAAATTAGCCTAAACAGTCACTGAAACAACTAGGTGAATGTTGCGCGCTGATTTGGATAAAGTGTGATATTGTGAGGGGACAGTGGGAGGTCAGTACCATCAGTAAGTTCATGGGGGGGGGGGGGGGGGAGTAGTGTCAACATGGTCCGAGTATTGAGAGGAGAACAGTGAAAATGTCTATTATCGAACAAGGCGTGCACGCACGAGAGAAAGTGGATGCGTGGGTACTGAAAGCATGGATAACGAGATAAACAGAAAGTGTGAATTAAGTGACAGCGTGATTTTCAGGTAACATCAGCCACCCACATAAGTGTGATTCTCGAGAACGCACACATGAGCGTGAGTCCCGAGAACACCCACAGGATCGTTTTTCACGAGAATGCCCATACGAGCGTGCCTCTCGTGTAGACATCATCCACCTACACGGAGTTGAGGGGGATAAATTGGAGGGCTGAGTAGCCACTGGGAGGCAGTCGGGAGAGAAGCGAGAAGAGAGAAAGCGAGAGTCAGAGACCAAGTCAGGGTCTGTGATATCTCTCGCGAGTCTAACATATAAGAATACCGTACGACTATCAGGCATTTAGGTCTGAATGAGTGTCGAGGTTGCGGTACTGAAAAGAAGATATGGTCCCGCTGGCAAAGTAAGTCCAGGGGACGGAAGGCCAGTAGTACCTGGTTTCGGAGTACGGCAAGAGGAGTCCGTCTCCAGTCAGCCGTGTTGTAGGCTGAATTAATATCTAGGTCCAGTGAATGGGAGAAGTCGTCCTGTTCAGCTTTACGACGCGTCCAGAGTGTGGGACGCTGTAATCCTTGGAGCTGTAGTAGTCAAGGAGAGACCGCTACAAATTGAGAGATAGCTGTGAGGACAAATGGACGATGTGCGAATGTCAGCTGTAATTACGTCTCTGCATTTGTGTCATGTATCTTGTTAAATAAACATGTACGATGGTGTCATCGTCGTCGAGTTCTATTTCTAAGAGAGGAAGCGGAAGAGTACCTGCTAAGACACTTGGTAGTGTGCTGATTCACTTAGCACACAACAGTGAAGCAGCAGAAAGGGCTTCTAGCTGACTGTGGACGCAACAGAACGTCGTGGGGGATGAGCCTCGGTAGACTGGTCTGAGTCCCTAGTGGAAAGAAGCTGCTTATCCTCTTAAAAGCCAAAGTAACCGAGAAGTGTCTCTCTGCCAAATACCAAAGTCACCTGTCTGATGAACCAACCGTAAGCTTGTCACTCTGGTCGTGAAGGTAGACGGCTAATTTGCTACCGCAGCAATAAATATAACACAAAATCTTACCTGTTGCAAGTCACCATATCGTCTTGTCCCTGTTCGATTGAGGGCAGCAGGGGAAGATCGAGGCCTGGCTTCATGACCCAGGTCAGCCTACCTTCCGAGATTGTGTAGGAAGTAACGGTGACAATCAATCATCGACGAGGGATCGTTATACTGATGATCGGTGGATCATGCTGTGTGTTCTCCCCTATGGAGTTCGTCTTATTATTGTTGAGACAAGACTTTAACTTGATATTGAAGATAACTATGATCTTCAAATGTTCAAGTTATCGCCGAATTGGAACATTCCGAATAGAGAGTTGCAGAATTAAATGGAATAGAGTAGATCAAAGCTAAAGTGTTTTGGGTACATTCATTTTAGTTCACCCTGTCTCGAGAAATCCTAGGGAGAGTCCAATATTATAGGGTGGTTAGGGTTAGGGCTGGAGTTGGTGCTAATTTCACACCATAAAACACCTGTAATATTGGACTTTCCTGGGAACTCTCGGATTCCGCGACATGGGGTGAACCAAAAAATATACCCTAGTTTGGTATAGATGGGTTGTAATAAGGGGAATTCCCATGAAGGCTCAAGAAACAGGTAAAGTGAGGGAGTGTGGTTCACGTGAACGGTCACAAGACCAAATCCCGTGGGAAGGTAACAAGAGTTTTTAAGGACGATGAGAAAGCGACAGTTGTTTGACCCTGTGAGAGGCAAGAGGTTTCGAATGGAGTGCTGAAGGAAACGGTGATTGTGAGCTGAGGGAACGAGAACTTGGGACGCCAGGAATATCCGATGAGCACTGATTCTGAATTGTGATGCCCAGTGACTGCGAAGTGTGTTGTGTTGTGATTTAGATGTGAAATCACCAAGCAAACGAACTATTTATACTAAAAGATAATTTCCTCTTTGTTTGGTTGTAATCCCGTCGTGGCCGTCAGTCCATGGCAAGTTGAAACGACCAGGAACAGTTTAGGACAACGACGGAATGACTCTGATAGACTATAATAAATGATGTTAACGTCATCGTCGTGTTTTGATTGTACCCCTGTGTGTTTACATCTGCATCATAACATGAGATAGAGAGTTGTTATCAGTATAGACTGAGCTAGAATAACAACGGAGCATCAACTTTGCATGGGGTTTACAGTAAAGCTGACAATATCTACCCAACCCGATACAAATTCACGGAACCAATTGGGCTGGGCTACAATCCATTAACAATGTGACAACAAAACAATACGAATGAATGGAACATTTTAGTCCTATCGAGGTTTCAATTTCACTACAGTCAGGTTTCCCAAGATTGTTATAAACTCTTGCACATATATAATGATACCTCGATATATGAACCCAGTCCATTTATGTTCCTCGGACATATTTCCAACAGTACTTTTCAACATCATGTAGCAGGTCTTTTGCAGAACGTCGCTCTCATCACAGTCTGCCTGTAAGAAACTCAGTCTCTTGCTAGTTCTCCCGCCTCATGAACTTTCACACTCGAGGAGTCACTTATATCCTGTGCCCATCTTCGTGTCCGTCGGCCTCTGCCCCTCCTTCCTGGTACCATGCCTTCTGTCATAATTTTTTCCAATCCGTCGTGACGCTTTATATGACCAAAATATTTCAGCTTTCGAGAAAGGATGCTGTTTATTAGCCAATCTTCCTTGATGTTCAGATCTTTTAAGATGTCAATATTTCTCATCTTCTTTGTTCAAGATATTCTGAAATCTTTCTATAGCATTTTAGCTCAAAAGCCCCCCATTCTCTTTCTTAAGGACTGAGAGATAGTCCACGACTCACATCCGTATGTAGCCACAGGAAAGATGCATGCTCTCAAAATTCTAATTTTTATCTCCTTGCTGGTG